CAAGCATTCAAATCTATGAGCCTATGGGGTGCCATTCTCATTTAATCCACCACAGTAATATGTAACATATGTTGATATTTTGATCTGGTTTTTAAGAAATCATGTTTGTTTATTTTGGCATTCCCATTTGTGGTATTACTGAGTTACATTCACTTTTTTTTATATTGTTTTTGATAGCTCATTCAATTGCCTATCAATTGTCAATACACACTATTATCCAAAATACTTTAAATTTCTAAGTTTAGAGTGTGTGTGTGTGTGTGTGTGTGTGTGTGTGTGTGTGTGTGTGTGAGAGAGAGAGAGAGAGAGAGAGAGAGAGAGAGAGAGAAAGAGAGAGAGTGTTATGTGGGGGGAGTTCACATGCCACAGTGTAAACATGGAGGTCATAGGACCAGTTTGTGAAATTGGTTCTTTCTCTTCACCTTTATGTTGGTGCCAGGGATGGAACACAGGCTGCCAGATTTGCATGGCCAGTACCTTTCCCTGCTGAGCTGTCTTTCTGGCTCCAAAAAGTCTTTCAAAAGATATTATTTAGTTTGGCTAATACTGAAGAGTCACAAGTTATAAAATATTAATGTTTAGTTTTATCTAAAATAACAGATCTATAATAGTTGCATCAGATAAATCATAGTTGTCCTGATCATGTCATGGTATAATAGAATGCATGAGAACTTGATAATTGATGCACTTTTGACTACTTTTGTAACTGTTACCCATGCCTTAAAACAAGATGATGTAGACAGTGTAGAGACACATGCTCCACTTGGCTTGTCTTGACTCAAGTCCTATGAGTCCTGCACAGGCCCTAGTCAAACTTACATGGAAGCCTGGGCTGAGATAATATGTTCACTTCCTTGCAGGTTTTCACTGTTTTTAGTAATTCTCTTAGTATTAAATAAAGGCTTAACTTAAAATAGCATAATTTTGTAGATACATTTATTGAATTTATAAATACATAAAATTTTAATGGCTTCCTAACATTTTCTTTAAATTTTTAAAATTTAGTTCATTAAGTGATTGATTGGTTAATTTGTGTACATGTGCATGGGTGGAAGTCAGAAGACAACTTGGGGAAGTTGGTTCTTTCTATCGTATTGGTCCTATGAATTAAACCCAGGTCATCAGGCTTAGTGGCAAGTACCTTTACCTGCTAAGACACCTTGCCACCCTAGTACGCTATTTTCCAAGACTCAAATAGTAATAGCATTTGTCATACTGGTTTAATATTAATGTTTTATTGTATAAGATTTTAAATTCGACATAGTAATGCCACTTTTTAATTCCAAAAGTTTATTATAGGTTCACAAAATGTCAAGTATTTTCTTTTGAAGATTTCCAGTTTTACTGAGTGTTTTTCTTCCATGTCCTCTGCAGTACTCACCGGAGGAAGTAAAGACTAGCTCTCCCTTCAGAACACGTATAGGCGAGTGTAGGGTCTATAATACACTCCTCGTAAGTAGTGCTAGCACAATAGTAGACAAAAATGACACAGCATTTATATGTTGTATTTGTACAAGAGTAGCTGGGCAGCAAGAAGGGGTCATGTCTCATCTGGGCTTTGAAAAAACACATAGATGGCTAAACAGAAAAGGGCTTTCCAGATTGTAGGGTAAGCACAACAGCCATTGGCCCTCCCTCTAATTTCAAAACTCTGTTGTTTAGACACAGTGATACCGATAATCTGTGTAATTTCTCATTATAGGGCACTGGAGTTGGCTGTAAAATACAAAACCCATGTTGATACAGTTCTTGCTTATCGTCAGAAATTTTTGGAGACATTTGGTAAACAGGAAACTAATAAACGATATTTGCAATATGCAGAAGGTGTAAGTATTGCACAGTGTTTTATAGCAATGTGTATGCTCTATATAAAATGTTCGTCTTATGATGAAAGTTGCATGATTCATACTCTAATTTATAAAAGCATTATTTTTTCTCTTGTGATGTTGTCATTTTGCTTTGTGACTATATGGTTGTAGTCTTTTTTCTAGGATCTTGGTTGTTGTTGCTTGTCTGTTTGTTTGTTAACAGGTTCTTACTCTGTAGTCTAAGCTAGATTGGAGCTCACTGTCTAGCTCAAGATAACATCTAACTTGGAGGACCTCTCCTGCCTCAACTTCCTGAAGGCTGGGATTACAAGCATGAGACATCAGTTCTGGTGGTTTGGGTTTTTTTCTAGATGCTTTAGCTTTTTCTTTTTGATATCAGTTTTTATGATAATTTGTGTTGGGGTTGTATGTTACTTGATATTTTAGATAAATAATGTAGATGTCTAGGAAGAAAGCTAACTCTTAAATTTGTTTTCCCCATTTGAGAAAACATACACACAAAATCCAGCCCTTCCTTCAGTGAAGTTTTAGTTTATTTGTAAAGTATTTTTATTCTGAATTATGTGTCTGTGTGTATCTGTGTGTGAGTTTGTGCTCATGAGTGCAATGCCTGCAGAGGACAGAAGAGGGTGTCAGATCTCCTGGAGCCGGCATTATAGGCAGTTGTGAGTGGCCCCACATGGGTGCCAGGAACCAAACTCCGTGAGAGTATCCAGTGCCACTGAGCCATCTCCAGCTCAAATTACATTTTAAATAGCAAAAGCTTAGTATCCTTATTTTCTTTTTCTTGGTCTATGTAATATTTAGCAGTTGCTAAAGCATAATACCTCAGGTGTAAGTGATAGCTCAGCCAGAGGAACAGGGCTTTCTCGGTGTTTCTTTCCTCAAACAAGGCAACAGGGAACCTTGATTCCCTCTGGTGTTCTAGTCTTCTGCTTTTCTTCCTCATGGATGCCATGTGAAAGTTAACAACAACAACAACAAAATCACAAAACAGTGTTTTTAAAAGAAGAAAATGTTACTTAAAAATTTCTGAGCAGTGGTACAAAAATTAACCCTAGGAAAATAGCTTATGTGGCTGACATCTACTTGCTGATTGCCTGGTATCATTTGGATCTATCATAATCTATCATCCATATTTATCTATTTTGCCAAAATTATAGCCATATCTCCTATTTCAGAACTAAGAACTTCATAGATGTGTCATTAACAGCATGAGAAGTCGCCAGTAGAGGTGGAGTTCTGTTCTCTGCCCGTCGTTACACCAGAACACAGGATAGAAATTCTGCTTTACTGAAGACAATTCTTTTTTAAAAAGATTTGCTATTATTATCATCATCATCATCAGTGTGTGTGTGTGTGTGTGTGTGTGTGTGTGTGTGTGTGTGTGTGTGTGTGTACAAGTACTTGTGGAGCCCAGAAGGGACGTTGGGACCCGGATCTGCAGTTGTGGGTGACAGCAATCACATGATGTGGGTGCTGGGAACTGCACTCCAGTCCTTGCCAGTGCAGAAAGCTGTGTTGACTGCTGAACCACCTCTTCAGGCTCCTGGAGACGATGTGTGGTCAAGTTAGAGATGGCACCAGAAAGAGGACTCCATCGTCACTCCATTGGTCTGCTCCCACATTGTTACTGTTCCTTGGCTTCCTGTCTCTGGACTCTAAAAGCCGTTATTCTTCATCTTGTCATTTCTTTACAGTCTCTTCTTATTTGTGGAGATGTCATATTAGTCAGAGTGTTCTTTTTATTTTTAAAAGTTATTTTCATTTTATATACCAATCCCGGTTCCCCTCCCTTTCCCTTCTCCCGCTCCTCCCCACCTCCCCCTATCCCACCCCCATCCACTCCTCAGAGAGGGGAAGGCCTCCCTTGGGGTTAGGCAGAGTTTTAAGCCACTGCTTTGCGTCACCTTTCGCTGACGTCCCCTGAGACATGTCACTGCATATACTGATAAACTGGCCTGTTTCTCTGCCCTTTGCTGCTGGAATCTGTACCACTATGAATTTAGGAGAGTTGAGGGAAAATCGCCCTTTCTGACAGTATCTAAGGGCCTGTGGGAGGGGCATTTGGAAGGAGCAGAAACGAGAAGAGAGGTGGGGTGCATTGCGATAGAGATGGCAATGGTGGCCGTGAACCAGGTTCCAAGAATGCTCCTATCTCAAGGCCCTTTTCCTCCCTGCCTCTGTTACTAAGTCATCCCTTCTTCCTTACTGTCAGTTTTCGGGGCCACCAGCTTCTCTGATCACTACATTTGAAAACCACCTAGAAATTCATCTCGTGATTAGATGGCCGTGTTTCCCACTGTGCACCTGGCACGCACTGTCTCCTTCTCTGCTTTCAAAACCGTTACCATGTGTGACATGTACATTTAAAAAATTTGTTTATTATCTGTCTCTTTCACCATGATCTGCCTTTATTATCTTTATGAAGATAGGGTTTTTTTTATATAATATTTTCATTCATTATTGAACCCTGTACTTAGGACAAGGCTTAACATAAACAAGTGTTAAGTATTTGTTGAACGAGAAGGCATATAGGATAAGAACTGAAAACAGCGGATAGTGGTTTCAGTGAAGTCTCTAGGCCCAAGGATATAGTTCAGTGATGGAGCCCTTGCCTAGCCTATGTGAGATATTGGGCCTGATCCCCAGCTCTACGTTAAACAAAGCTTTCTGAAGGGTAGCTGATGAACAGTCATATTACAGTACCCTGAGTGAGAAGAATGAGGTGGGAGCTCCGGAGACAGAATTAAGAGAGGCAGGAAGCCAAAAAGGACTTGAGTATGTGATTACCGAAGGCAGTGTCCTAGAGGAGTCAAGAGAAGTGGACTCAGAGACCCATGTGAAAAGCTTAGCCTGAGGCAGAAGGAAAGCAGATGGGGTGATGGCCAGTATAGGTAAGTTTATGAGGATGGAGACCCATGAATTCATGCCCGATTGCCATCTTATTCTCTGTTCAAGTAGGCAGCCAATCTTTACTAAGAGTAGGCAAGCTGGGTACTGGACAGAGCCATTAGATACGGATTTTTAAATGCTTTTATGTGACTAAGAATTGACAAGGGATCAAAATAAGAAGTTCCAAATAGTTTGGCTCTCCCTATAGTAGAAAGTATGGCTTTTGATGTAGAAGTCACTTGAAACTGTCAGAGAACAGCACCTTTACCTAAAACATACTGTTAAGAGTATTTTTATTTAGGACTAAATTATCTGTAGAACATGGTCCTAAAACTGGATCAATGCCAGGTGAAATGAAGCAGCCAGGGTCTGCAGGAGACGGTCCGTCGTTGCATTCATTTTCAACAAGTGACTGCCGATGTCATCAGTTCAGTGGACAGATGACTGCTACTGCAACAGGTGGCGGGTGTCATTGTGTCCTGACTGACTAGGGAACCAAACGTAAGTCAGTTTAAGGCTGGAAGAAGGCCAAGGCAGTCAGCAAAGTTTCCCTTCCCTTTTAATAAGTGCTTGGTTAGACATGGAAATGTGCGCATTGCCATTTGAAAATTCAGCTGTGGCCCAGTTGAGAGTCAGTCTTCAATAATCTAATATCTGCCCTGCTTTTCGGCAGGCTGTCATTTGATTCTAGTCCAGACAGTTATCTTCTGGGCTAAAAGAAATTCTATTAATTATTAACCAGTCTATCTTATATATTATAGATACATATGGACAATTATTTTTAAGGTCATCAAAATATCAACAAATTACTTATAGGAAATTTAGACATAGCTTATTGGAATAAAAAAGAACCAAGTGATTCAGTCAACTACTACCACAAAATAGGTGTGCCGTTCTGTTAAGACGAAGCTGACCTCCCTGTTTCTTCAGATGAATCTGCTCAGGTGGCAGGCACTACTTTGGTCTGTTTGCCCCTATGTGGAGGGAAGAGCCTCTTCATTTCTGACCAAGTCTTAGAGCTTTGGGTCTGTCTCATAGTTTCAGCTTAGTCTAGGACCCAGTTTTTCCAATGCCTTGCCTCAGAGGACACACATTCCTAAATAAGTGATCTCCAAATTTCTTTAACGGTAGGTTCCTAAATAAACAAGTATTCCTAAAGAAATAAGTATTTCTAAAGAAATTGCTCATAGGACTCAGGGGCAGAGGAGTCCTTTCCCAGCATCAAGTCTAAGAAACTTAGAAAGGGATAGGTCTAGGCTAGGGTAGGCTTGCCCTTGTCATAGAAGACAAAAACAAACAGATATAAATCTTTTCTTACTCTCACGTGTCTCCCAGTCTTGCCTGTCCTCTGCTTCCTCTGATGGCTTTCATCAGTTGTGACTACACATCCCTCTGTCACTTTAAGAGTGGCTGCAATGGAGCCATCTGTGAAACAACATTCCCTTGTCTTCCTTGCGGCTGGGCTTCTTCTGGGAAACTCGGCTTATGAGATGGCCAGAGCAGAGCTGATGCAAACACACCCTACTTGCTGTCCGGCCCAGTTTGCTTTTGTGGGGAGCAGAGCAGAGCAGAGTGGCTTCTTTCCGTTGTTTCTAAGGTCTTGTGCAGGATCCTGAGGTTCTGTGTACTGCTTCCATGTGCTTTGTAAAGAGCTGCACAGAATTGTGGTCTTCTCAGTCACAGTAGGAGTCTTCCTTGTGCTATGTAATTGCTCTCTTGATCTTAAAGGTAGCTGGTGGGTTGTCAACATTACTTCTCTAATACTCCTCTCTCTCTATTTTGGAAGTCATATGTTCTGTTTTGTTTATTCTTGGTTACTTTGGATTAAATGAAACATAGGGTATAAGCACGACTCTCTTTTCCCTTCTGTTGTAGCTCCAAATAGACTGGGAGAAAATCAAAGCCAAAATCGAGATGGAAATTACTAAAGAACGAGACCGATCATCCAGCAGCCAGTCTGTCAAGAACGTGGGCTTAAAGCACTGAATGCCATGCTGACCGCTAAACTAGTTCAGAGTAACCAAAGATATGCATGTTTTGTTTGCTTTTAAAAAAGGCATAATTTTAAGGCTAGTGTTGTCTCTGAATGGTAGAGTACTTGCCTAGCATGCATGAGGCCTTGGGTTTGATTCCTAGCACTGTCAAAAGAAAAAGGCATTATCTTTAAATTATTGTATGCACTTTCCATGTACTTAATACTAAAAGTACGTTCAGGAAGATTAAGCACAAAATAATTGATATAATTCCATCATTTATATTTTTCTAGTCTAACAATTAACAAAATATTTCTATATGCTTATCTATGCCCGAGTAATGTTGATTACATTCCAGTTTTTTTATTTCTTTATTCCTGGTTCTTTAGTATGAGTAGCTATTAATGCTTATAATAAAGCCTTGAGTTATTTATAGTGTATGTTATTGTTAATTTTCATTTGATCTGTAAATTGTAAAGTATCTCCCATAGTTTGTAAAACAAAAATACGTGAGGATGGGTTTGGAGAAATGTTACAATGCGGGCACTTGTACACCAAAGTTGATAGTGTTGTTCAAATAACAAAAGCTGGGAACAACCCAGGTGTCCATCCACTGGCAGTTACATAGAGCAATGTGGTAGTCTCAGGCAGTGGAATTATTCTCTCATCAGAGGATTGAATTGAGACACATGCTGCAGCATGGATGTGCCTTGGGAAACTTACTCTCTGTGCAGTGAACATACCAGAGAAGTCAGTCCTGGGAGATTGTGCATACAGAAGGCACCTAGAATATGCAAGTTCCTCCAGGCACAAAAGAGAAGAAAGGAACAAGGCCTGGGGGAGGGAAGATTGGGGTCTTATTGTGTAACATGTGCAGAGTTTCTGTTTGGGGTGAGTAAGTTCTAGAATTGGAGAATGATGATTGTTGCATAACATTGTGGATGTTAATGAATCTCAACTGTCCTCTTACAAAGGGTTAAAGTGATGAATGTTATTTATTTGTTTACCATATTGAAGAGGAAGTAGGCAAACTCCCTTTTCTTCATTCTTCTTCTAACTTAAGAATGTTTAGGCGTAAGACCTAGAATCTGAATTTTCAAAGCTTGCCTCAGTGGGTAAACCTGTTTGACTGGCCTTGATCTAGTATATCCCAAATTACTGTCCACCAAAGCTTTTTAACAGTGACACAGACATCACTCTCAAGTGTCCCTGAACCTGTTCTTGGTGCGTTACAGAGCTCATGCACACTCACTGGGAAACATTGCCTCTTTCCCATCCATTATAATTCTCATGTAGGATTCTTTCATAGAAATGCTCCTTCTCAATGTGTTCCTTTTCTTTTATGAAATGTTGGACTGTTCAATTCTTGGTCCAGAATTTGGATACAAGAGTGTGTGTTAAGTTCATGAAATCTAAGGAATTTACTTATATGTTATACATGTTTTCTACATTGTTGAATTTCAGTGTAATGTTTAAAAAGAAAAAAAATGGTCAAAGGTTAAATTTTATGTTTAGTATATTTACCACAATAAAAAAGTAAAAAATAATGAAGTAAGTCTGTATTCTTTGATATAATTCACTTTTGACACTTAACTGCCTAGAGTTAGCAATAGACACCACAAATGCCATGGACCACAGCTGGATTGCCTTGAGTTCTGGAGTCCACAGGCTATCTGCACTTGTGTCTGATATGGCTATACATCTGGGATTCCCATAAAACCCCTCCATTTCAGGTTTGATAATTCAATAGAGTTGTTTATAGAACTCACTGGAAGTCTTTACTTAGGTTTTATTTAGGAGGGTAAATGGAAATGTAAACAGGCATGTAGAAGAGGCACATGGAGTAAGGCCTGGGGAAGAGGAAGGTCACAACAGAACTTCCACATCTTGACCTTACTGAAGTCAGGAGACTGGCCATCTTCCCCTCTCATAAATGTCTTCAACAGGAAGCTTCTTCCCCAGGTCTTGATGTCTTGGGGTGTTGTAGAATATTATTTTAAGATGTGTTACATTTGTTTATGCTGTGGAACATTTGTTTAATGATGCAAAGATGTGTTGCATTCTTTTATGTTGCATTTGTTTAACTCTGTGAAGCTGTGTTACTGTGCCTGTCTAAAACACCTGATTGGTCTAATAAAGAGCTGAACGACCAATAGCAAAGCAGGAGAAAGGATAGGCAGGGCTGGCATGCAGGGGGAATAAATAGAAGGAGAAATCTGGGAAGAAAAAGCAAGAGTGAGAGAGAACAAGGAGAGGAGGATGCTAGGGGCCAGCCACATGGCCACACAGCCAGCCATGTGTAAGAATGAAAGTAAGATTACAGAAGTAAGAAAAGGAAAAAGCTCAGAGGGAAAAGGTAGATGAGATAAATTTAAGTTAAGACAAGCTGGTTAGAAACAAGCCAAGCTAAGGCCAGGCATTTAAAGTAATAATAAGCTTCCATGTATGATTTATTTATGAGCTGGATGCTGGGTCCCCTAAAAGAACAAAGAGCCAAAGAGTAGGAGTGAAAAACAACCAACAACATTTTGGTGCTCCAATGTGGGCCCATATTTCCATGTAGGGCCTGAGAAAGCTGAAAAGAAAAAAGAAAAAGGACACAGCTCCTTTAAGAGATGTTGCTATTCAGCTGGCAGCACTAAATAGAAAGGACAAGCTAAGTAAAAAAACCCTTGTGGCAGTGTAGATACCAGCTTCCTACAGCTAGGAAGGTTGAATGCAGTTCCTGCTCGTGTATTTCTAACAGGGCTGTGAGCTTTAGGCTTGGCTTTCACGACCTGAGAAGTGGGTGGAACCAGGTGATAGAGCTGCTTTTGGAGGATTCAGCTGTAGCTTAGCAGCTTACAGTTTGTTCACAGGGTCAAAAAAGATTAGAGATATGCAATAAAAGAGATCCAGACAGAAAAAAAAATCTCTGAACAGGTTCCAGTGTGTTTTTCATTGCATGTAGGCTTAAGAAAGAAAAATATGGGTATAGACAGTCATAGAAACAAATAGTTTAAAAATAAAGTCTTTAATAAAGAGACAGTAAAAAGAAAAAAGCCATGTAAAGATGGGAAATACACAGGGAGTCTGGATCCTGAATGTTGTTATGTTGGTTTTGAATTCTTTGAATGCTAATAAACAAATAACATCTGCTGGCAGACATGGGCTTGTGAGCAGGACTGCAAAGTTGAACCAGTTTAGATACTTTAGGGCTATCTTAACTTTAAAAAAGAATTTAAAAAATATACTTGTCAAATGGAAATAAAAAAATGCTTTGGAGTTTTGTTCCCACAAAAGACAAGAGGCTGTGGATTCCTTCAGGAATGAGATGGATCAGGTTTGATCAGGGGAGACCTCCTGAATCTTGACAGGTGACATCAACATAGGTTATAGCTGGTCTTCCCAGGACTGGGCCAATATGCCAAATTTCCTCAGGGACCCTAAAGATGCCTTCACCCACAGATAGCAGGAAGCAGTTTGGAGAACAAAACACCCACATTCCCAAGAGGGGTGTGGGAGGCTTTTGGTTCTTTAGTGGGTTGTGATGTTTGTTGTAATTTAGAGGAATATAGGACAAAAAGATAACTATTAATCTCAGATATTTTGCATTAGCATGGATTTTGGTATATTGGTAAAAATTTAAAGTTAATTTTGTTACTATATATATATTTTTTTTTCTACTCTTGTTTGGGGTATTGTACTTATACAGTTCATTTAAAAGTACAATGTATAAATAAGAAATGAGGTTAGTAGTTAATGTATAATTAAGCTTGTAGTCACATTAGGTATGTGTTTAAGGTTAAATAGGTATATTTTAGATTAAATGGCATTCAAACACTTCAAAGACCTACAGAATATGGCATTTAAAATGTTTTGTTAACATAGGCTTTTCATGACAATGAGACACATCTGCTCCTGGAAGTACCAATTTATTTTATATAAGGATGATGGGCATCAAAGAAACCCCATAGAAATTTGCTTTCATTGTGGCAAGATTAGCCATTTGGGGAAGAAACTACTTTTGCCTTGACTGTTTGACAGTATGTGGTATAAAATGGACATGCAGGACCAACAGGAAAGTGACTGCTGAACTTTATCAAAACAAGGTGGGACAGTCCTTCAGGGTTCCTGCTTCATGGATGAGTTTGCCAGACATTTTGCAGGACATAGAGGAAAGCAGCTGATGAACTTTGCCAATACAAGGTGGCAGGACAGTCCTTGAAATTTCCTGTTTCATTGAAAAGTCTGCCAGATACTCTGGGCCTGTAGGCTGAGGATGGATGCCCCAACATTGCAGAGGAACTTTGGGTGACTGTCCAGGCAGTCAGATGTCTCTGTCATTTCTAGAATTTTGGAAGTTGCTTGCAATGCACTTTCTGTTTACTCAGATAATATTATATCCTTCTGGGGCCTTTGATGGAGTTGAAGACTAGAAAGGTATAGTTGCAGTTTTCCTTAGTTATGATAGAAAGTGAATTAGGTAGAAAAATTTCGACTAAGATGGGATGATGGTGGAGTATTTTCTCTGAATTTGCTAAACACAAATGAACAGAATATTGTAAATGTAATTTTTGATAACTTTTGTTGTGTATAGTTTAACTATGTTAAAGTTAAAACTTTTCATTTTTATTTAGACAAAAAGGGGGAAATGTTGTAGAATATTATTTTAAGATGTGTTACATTTTTTATGCTGTGGAACACTTGTTTAGTGATGCATAGATATGTTGCATTATTTTTTGTTGCATTTGTTTAACTCTGTGAAGCTGTGTTACTTTGCCTGTCTAAATCACCTGATGGTCTGTTAAAGAGCTGAATAGCCAATTGTGAGGCAGGAGAAAGGATAGGCAGGGCTGGCAGGCAGAGAGAATAAATGGAGAAATCTGGGTGGAAAAGAAGAAAGAACAAGAGA